AGTGGTCGGGACGAGACTGCAGCGTGCTGTGGGGAGGGTAGAGGATCCTGGCGAGAACCGCGGTGGGGGCTGAGCCCTGGTGCTGCGGTCGATGCCGGTACAGAGACCGGCTCCTGCCGAAGCCCTTGCTCCGCGGTGGGGCGGCTCGCACCTGAGGCGCGGTGCGTGTGGGGAGCCTTAGTCTGGGCAGCCCGCGGTTTACCTCAGGGTGAGGTGGGAGCTGCAGGGCCTCAGGGCACCTCGGCTACGAGCACCAAACCTGGGCTCAGAGCAGGTATCTCTGCTCTGCCGTGTTTTCCACAAGGTGGGTGAAAACGCCGGAGGATCAGGCCATCTCCTGTGGCCTTTTGGAGGAAACCCTAGCTGCCGCTGGCATAAAGCAGTAATTTGACTTCAGGACGTGTATATCTCCAAAGGGCTTAGAGAATAACCAAAATCTGTCTTTCTGGTGCAAAATGCAAACTTAACTCATGTCAAATCGCATAGAAACCTTGTCTCCTGTGTGCTTGCTCTGTTTTGCAATGAGGTGAGAAATGCTTCTTGTATGATTTCTACCCTTGGTAAACAAGGTGCTGTGACCATTGGAAACCTTCTACGTGCTTTGCTTGTGCTGCATTTTGCTTGGCCTGTTTCCCTTTCCTGTTCTTGCGGACAGCAACGTATTTCAATAACTAAAAATGATTTAGAAGACTTAATTATTTTTAAACAATGCGTTACGTATGAAATCTTCCTGATAACTTGAAAAGCAACACTTTAGAGATTCCAAAGTATGTATTTATTTCTTTTTAAACCTTTGCCCTTTATCTTGTTTCTGCCTTAGTTTAGGACTGGATCCGTAGCTTCAAATAACAATTTAACTTGATGTGTTTACCTCTTAAAATGACTTCTTATACGAAGTTCAGCAACTTTCCTCCTCAATTCCACTGCCCTCTGCTGGCTGCACCAGTGGGGTCCACCTGCCCAGTGCTCTTCCCTCCACTTTTATTTTTCCTCCTTTTTATGTTTGTGGTTTTTTTTTTTGTTAGGCTTCTCTTTTTAAGGTCAGAAACCATTAAAAGCGTGCTTTTACAGCCTACTAAAACAGTATCTTGACAAGGCAGAGGAGGTTGCTGGCAGGATGATCTCCCTAAGGAGCCCTGAACTTTAGATTTCAATCTTCTCCTTGATCCAAATTAACCTGGTTGGGCTGATCTTGAAGTCACACACCGCAAAGTCTATTATCCGAAGGCATAAAAGGAAGATATGTTGGGTTTGAAATCTGAGCACCAAGAGCTTACATGTATAGCTGGAATATTGTTTTGACTTTCTTTTCTTTGTTCCCGGGTTTTGGAGAAAATGCTGGGTTACTATTTGCCTGAAAATAGAATATTTTTATAAATAAATATTTTGT